TACCTACGTTCGTTAACCTTACGTCGTACCTTACGTACGTACTTACGTCTCTACCTTACTACTGTCTGACGTCTCGTCTGTCGTACTACTACGTCTACTACTACTACTACTACTACTACTACTGCTGCTGCTGCTGCTGCTGCTGCTGCTGCTGCTGCTGCTACTACTACTACTACTACTACTGCTGCTGCTGCTACTGCTGCTGCTGCTGCTACTACTGCTGCTGCTACTGCTGCTGTTGCTGCTGCTACTGCTGCTGTCATGCTGTCATGCCTATAGCACGGTGGGCATTGCACTGCATGTCAATTGCAAATTAATTGCTCTTACATTGCTCCTATATTGCTCCTCCATTGCAGGCAATCTTTGCGGACAAGAGCGCTAACTGGTACGCGAAAAAGGGCAAGCAGAAACCGACAGCATAAACTCGTGGCGCCCTCTGTGGTGGGATGGCAAGGCGTGCGGATATGTCGCCCTCATCTGTACAGTTGTGAATTTTAAACTGATTCAAACGATTTGTCTGTGGGCATCCGACCAAAATCCAACCGATAGTTTGATAATCCAGGGACGTGAGACCTCATAGCAGACATTCATAGTCCAAGAGACTGCCCCAAAGAAGAGCGCATTAATTCTAGAAATATGAACCTTATCTCAAAATGTGAATCGTTTCTACTGCAATCCACAGTGTTGGTCTGTGAATTTCATCAATGATAGGCTTTTCTCTTCTTTAAGACAGTCCTATGATTTTAGTTGATGAATAGAATGATATTTGGTATGAGGTTTCGTCTCTGGGTTCTCAAACTATTGACTGAATTTTGGTTGAATGCTTAAAAGATAAATTGGCTGAGTTGTTTTTCAAAAGTCACAACCCATCCGTACGCCGTCATGTACTTACCTGTAGTGGTTGCTTGTTGCTACGACGATTCAAACATCGAGGGTCTGATGGGTCCATAATTTTTCTAGGTTTAATTCAGCACCTTAATTTTGCTCGTTTAAATCTTCGTTATTCTGTAGCGTGTTCGTTAATTGCATTGTTGTTATCGGGTGTTAAATTTTATTTCGATCATTGAGTGTGCTGCTTGCTGGAGTGTTGGTCTGCTAGAGTTTAACAATTGCATTAGGTAACTATTTGTCAGATTTGTTTAGTGATTTTGTGAATTTTAGAAGGTGTAATAGTGACTTTACTAGTATGTGTGCGTTAATTAGAGTGTTAAATTCTGTTTCGGTTGTTGTGTGTGCCGCTCTCTAGATTGTTGGTCTGGTAGGGTTTAACAACAATTGCACCGCGTAGCAAATGGTGACATTTATTACCTCAGGATACCGTAGGATATATTTCCGAACTCAGGCCTAGGCCTCTGTGTTCAGCTCCTGCTTTCTACGTGCTCCCGGTGGAGAAGTGCGGTAGTCGTAGTAGTGAAGACTCTCATTCTGCCACTGACGATCCAGTCGAGCCTCGAATGTTTTTAGGTTAGGTGAGCACACTGTGTTGGCGCTTATTCAGTGCCCTTGTGAGTTTTAGAACGTATATTAACAACTTTCAATGAGTGTCATGCGATTCGTAGATGGGCACCAATCTGTGATATGACTGGGCACAAGCTAGTGCAAGCTACCAAATATTCCCACCGAGCCAGACTGTGACGATTTTGGAGATTTTATTTGCTTTTGCGACTTTTTTTTAAAGTTAATCTCAATTTCTCGTTATTATATAAAGGAAAGATATATTTCAATGGTTTGTAAATATAGAGGTGAATAAATCGTGTAATAGTTTTGCGTGATCACATAGCATAGAAAATTTAATGTAAAACGTATATGTTGTTGTAATGCACTATTTAAACAGCCGTCAATATATCACTAAATGTTTGTAGTGAAAACAATTAAACAACATTTTTATATAACTAAAAATTTCTATTTTTCCAGTTTCAACACTAGACAACATTTCGATATTAGACTGTTAACAATTTACAAGTATAGAATGGCATACTTTACAGTATGACGTCAGGTAACAACAAACAAACAAACAAGGGAAAACCTGAATTAAGATAAAAACAAGAATACTAGTAATAGTATTATAGTAAAGTTAAAGGGCGCAGTGAAGACACTTCAATGATTTCGAATCAATCGGCTTTGATTTCACGTGAATTCAGCTTGCACAGCATATTAAACCCCAAGATATCAGAGACTTCGTGTTTTTTCTCGTGAGTGGAGCGTGCGTTGCCTCATCGATGCATACACACCGCTATATGCAGCGTACATCGAATAAATACCAAGTACTAATAATTACCACGGCTAAGCAGCTTTACCCACAGGCACTTGGAACGCTTCAATAAAAATGTAAAAAAGTAAATAAACACGAAATGAACTCTATTCGCTCTACTCTATTTCGCCTATAATCACCTGTAAATGCCGGTCAAATGCTCATCTGCAACACACAAGTACACCGCACGCACGCCATGTGCACAAACAACATGAATAAGATTTACCTTTATTTTAATTTTATTGAGACGTTTCAAGTGCCTGTGGCTTTACCCGTGTAGCCAATACGCTGTCACTACCACGTGACACGTGGACCGTTTCAATAGCAAAACGATACGTAGATAAACACAAATTGTATTTACTACCAAACTTCACGTTCATGAACTCTGTATCGCCTAATAATTTCGCGTAAATGCCGTTCAAATGCCCCTGCAACTCATGGTCTCACCGCACGTACCGCATCGTGAACAACTCAGTGCAAGACAGAATGCGCTGCAGCCGATTTTCAGTGCAGACGATCATTCATGGTGATCGAGTCGTCTTCTTTACGGACGCATAATTATAATTCCTGTTTCTACGCCATGCACAGAAGCATAATGCAAGCATTGTGTGTGTACGACTCCAAAGCTCCCAGCTTCATCAACCACCTGCATCCACACACACGCGCTTCCTTACTGCACTATATCATCGATGACGGTGTCTAGTAGCATCGTTAGCAGCTATAGGACGCGTTCATTGTAGTCACTGTGCAGACGCTTCATCACCGGTCACAAACACCAGCGATGCTCTTCCGTCAGTTCGATAAAGTTTCGCAGATTAAGCGACCTTGACGAATGTTACATGACATGATTCATCGTCTGCTTGTACACGCGTTCTAAACTTCAGTTTGTTGTCGCGGTAAAAATAATTACCTAACTACTGCTCTTAATTTACTGCTGCCACACGCTAGACGCTATTGCTCACAGCTGAGTGAGTATTTATTTTACAGCATTGCGTTTTTTCTCATTCAGAGCTTCCGCGTTCTGAGAACAATATATATATATTGACAGACAGACAGACAGACAGACAGACAGACAGACAGACAGACAGACAGACAGACAGACAGACAGACAGACAGACAGACAGACAGACAGACAGACAGATAGACAGACAGACGGACGGACGGACGGACGGACAGACGAACGGACGGACGGACGGACAGACAGACAGACAGACATACATACATACAGACAGACAGACAGAGAGACAGAGAGAGAGAAAGAAAGAACGAAAGGAAGAGAAAGAACGCACGTGCGAGAGAGAGAGAGAGGGAGAGAGAGAGAGAGAGAGAGAGAGAGAGAGAGAGAGAGAGAGAGAGAGAGAGAGAGGAGAGAGAGAGAGAGAGAGAGAGAGAGAGAGCGCGCGACGGATTTCATGGTTAAACGCATCGTCTAACAGTAGCTCTCCTGACAAGAGCCAGTCGACCTGCAGGCGAAGCCACCATACGCTCTCAACAACAACACAGATGGAGAAACACAAGAATGGATTTGTCTTCGTATTCGTTGTCTATGACTACATGTACATATATGATCTATACAGAGCGCAAGCGATCTCGCATGCGCACTTAGACGGAGATGCTAGCAACCCCGCGCATACGACTTTACCAGTATATATATTATATATATATATATATATATATATATATATATACGTATACGTATATCATGTGTCTATCTATGTTACACTATCACAGATACGTTAGCATGCTGTGTGCTTTACTGCCCGTATAATCTCTCGGCAGACTATATAAATACACGCGTGATGTGCCAATCAAACAAATCCTTACTAACAGATTGCGCAAGGGTTATCGGCACGTCGTTGTACTAGGGAAATCTAAATAACGTATAACCAACATAATTATACTTGTTTTTTTATTCCTATATTGTGTTAAATTCTAGTGTTCCATGATTTCAGGACTTGACTTCGTTTTGGCCGGTTGAATAGAGCTGGGTTGAGGACATAGGCGTTAGTTCTTCAAAAAACGATTTCCACGCATAGTCCTACATAATCAATAATACATAATAGATATGTATATGTAGATAGAATCTCTATTATGTACTCTTGACATAATTTATGTAGAATTTGCAGAAGTGTTACTTTACAGTGATATAAGAAGGACAAATATTGCTTCGAAGTATATACAGCATCTCTCTTTGGTTGTATATCAAACAGGCTGCTAGGCTAAGCGCTTACAAAATATATAAAAAAATTTGTAAATATTAATATTTTTGTTGAATTCCTAGTTCCTATTCTTTCCTAGTTTCCCTCTCACGTTAAACTCTTTGTTGTGCCGGTCGTTTGCTAGCAAAAGATAGTCAGTATTTTTCATTCCTGCTCACTAGGTAGAGTCACTAGGTGTGGAATTAAGTTTCTTGCTGTTACGCGAGGGACTTTTTATGCAACCCGCGCGTCCCTACATTGGGATGGGAATTGCTAAACACTGGGTTACGAGAGTGTTGTTGAGTTTGTTCTGTATAATCACTCTCGTATTTCCCCGCCTCGCACCCACCACGACTAACCCTCACCTCTATCCCTACCATCCATCTCACCCGTTATTCCTGCAAATCTTGACAAAGACGTTGTTTGTCTGCCTCGCAGGTTCAATAAGAGACATGCGTCTAAACAGAGGAATTGCTCCGACCTGTGATTGGAGGATAAAAAAGACCCCGCCCACTCTCGCCGCATACGCTATGCTATGACGGGTAGGAACGTGTACTAACTATCATATGGAGCGAACGATTTGAGTTACATTTCTATAAATTCTAGCTATTATAGACACATGTCTTAGCCTTAATCTCTGTGAATTTTGAGTCTAAATTGAAGCGCGATTAGTCTAATTAATTAGCAAATATGCACGCGCGGCTATGACCAGTGAAACGAAACGTCACGAATTCTATTTTTATCCTCCAAAAATGGAAAAGTGGGCGGGGTCTATTTTTATCCTCCAATCACAGGTCGGAGCAATTCCTCTGTTTAGACGCATGTAATAAGAGAACGCGCCCATCTATATACACACGTATCGGTCTGTACGCAACGCCCTCTGACGGGCTATATCACATTGCACGGCGTCTCGTCAGATCGCCGCCATATCACTCTCCCACGTGCGCGCCACTAGCGACATCTAGCGTCTTTCAGCCTCCCGTCGATAGCAAGCACACGCATTGCCCTCTGGCGGCCGCGTCTACTTCTTCTTCTTGCCAAAATTAGGTCCACTGTAGCCGATCGGCTGGCGGGCGCCGTGCACGCCGCCCCCTAGCGGTGAACCGCGGCCGAACGCCGGGAAACCCCCGAAGATTTGGAACCCGCCTCCGAAACCGTTTCCGCCGAAGGGGCCGCCGCCGTATCCGCCGCTTCCGAATCCACCTCCGAAGTTGCTGTTGAATCCGGGTCCGTCGTTGTAGTTGACACCGTTGAAGCCACGGTCGTCGAATCCACCGTCACGGTTGTTGCCGTAGTTGGGACGTTCGCCACGGCCGCCACGGCCGCCATCACCGTTACCCTCACACAGCCGGTAATCTGCAACGATAGGAGAGGAGAAACGTGAGCGATAGCGCCTATGTGCGTAACTGTGATGCTAGTAAAGAAGAGAAGAAACAGGAGGAGCGGAAGGGAAAGGGGAAGGGGAAGGGGAAGGGAAAGGGGAAGGGGAAGGGAAAGGGGAAGGGGAAGGGGAAGGGGAAGGCGAAGAAGACAAAGAAGGAGGAGAAGCAGATGATAAAAATGAAGAAGAAGAAGAAAAGGAATAAGAAAATGATGAAATAGAAGAAAAATATAAAGAAGAAGAAGAAGAAGAAGAAAAAGAAGACAATAAAGACGAATATTCGTCATCTCTCCAATAACGAGCTGAATTATTGTCACTGGCTACCAAGGCAACTGCCGCGTGACATCTCTGCGTGTCATCGTCAGCGTACACTCGTCGCCGCCACCCACCCTCCGTTACGAGCGCGTTGCTACTGTCGCTGCAATACACACACACGCACGCACGCACGCACGCACGCGCGCGCCGCGCACACACACACACACAACACACACACACACGCACACACACACGCCCGCACATACACGCACGCACACAAGCACGCACGGTACGCACGCACGCACGCACACACACAACGCACCGCCCACATACACGCACGCACGCACGCACGCACGCACGCACGCAACGCCACACACACGACACACACACACACCGCCGCGGCGCGCCCGCACATACACACACGCACGCACGCACGCAGCACGCACGCACACACACACACCACACACACACACACAGACACACAACACACACGCAACTCTCCCTGCTACAGCTTATAGCCTGCCTACAGCGAGGGAGACGTAAACTTTCACCGCGCGCAGAGAGAGAGTCAATCACGCCCCAAATCCGCGTCGCCCTAGAAACTTACTTTCTACCGGCGCGTGCGATCGCACGCAATCACGCAATCACGCTTTTCTCCTCTGGTCAGCTCAGGTGACCGTAAAACGCCGCTGCATTCTGTGGTCAGCACTGATGGCAGCGCCTAGGTGTCGCGCGTGCACGCCTGCCACATTCACGCGTCGTTACAAACTCGTTCTCGCGCTGGCCGACGCGACCGCAAGCGTGGGACAGAGCGACGGCAAACGATCAAATTACACGTTTACACGTTAAATAGCGCGCTCTGTTCGCGACCCTGTGATATATGTAGCAACACACACTCGCCGAGGCAGCTGATGTGTGGCTGCGCTATAGAGGTCGCACCTGGTGCGTATATGACGTGATAAAGAATAGAGGCGTTCTGATTAATGTTCGGAACCTGTATTATCTCGTATATATTGTAGAGGTATGGCTGGGGGGGGGGGTGCGTCAGACGGGCCGTGTCACTACGGATGTATGCGTTTTACTATCGCCCGTAAATCTTTTGTCGAGTTAGAAAGCGAGTCGTGTGTGTGTGTGTGTGTGCGTGCGTGTGTGTGTGTGGGTGTGTGTGTATGTGTGTGTACGTGTGTGTGCGTGTGCGTGTGTTATGTGTGTGCGCGTGTGTTTGTGTGTGTGTGTGTGTGTGTGTGTGTGGTTGTTGTGTGTGTGTGCGTGTGTGCGTGTGTGTGCACGCGCGTGTAAGTGTGCCTGTCTGTGTGTGCATGTGCGTGCGTGCGCGCGTGCATGCGTGTGTATTATTTATGTATATATACAACTATCAGCTAGATATGCTACACAGTTACGCGTCGCCAGCATGT